ATCATTCTCAGTTGTTTATAAGCCTCCTGGAATTTGATCTTTTCAGAGACACAAGGAGTGTATGACCCAGATATGTTTTCTGGTTCATATACCTTGAGCAGCTTAGTTTCATATGAAGAATCTTTGTAACTCCAGATGATGTGAGAACCAGAGAGACCACAAGTTCACTGTTATGTCCCCGACCATGCTGGCAGAGCTGACAGTTTCAAGCAAATCCTAGAGCCCATCATTAAGCTTGTAATCTAAGTAAGCTTTACCAGGAGCCATCAAGAAACAGTGAACAAGACTTCATTTCATTGACTGCGAAGGGTGTTTTCTGGCTTTTTATATTCTCTTTGCACTTTCCAAACTGTGTCAAGGCAGTAGATATTAGCTATAAATCTTGGTAGACTTCTGCCAGTTCACATTCTAAAGCATGCATAGCATCTGAGTTAGCCAGTCTCAGAGTAGGCTTTATTTCATAATGGCTCTAGCCACAGTATAAGCTGGCAATGCTCAGCTGGCATCCTGAACACTAGGGTGTTTTGCCAAACAACACAAATTAGAAGAACCCCAGGCAGCTTTATTGCTTCCTGGTGTTGACTTTTGGGCAGAGAAATGAGGAATTGTGAACCTGACAGCTCCACTGAACAAGGAAGAAAAGACAAACTGGAATATCTTTATTAAAGTTCAACAATGAAATAAATAAATGCTGGTTGTGTAAATCCAAATGGACGTTTCAGCACTTAGGCAGGTGTCTACATCATGATTTGTAGATGTTAGGTAGAAGTTCTACTTTATCCCTGCTTAAAAACAGAGCTTACAATTTGCCAACACAAGGAGGAAAAAAAAAAAAAAAAAAAACAAAACAGTCTGTCTAAATATGTGCTGCTGGTTGAATTTCAAACTGTAAAGCCCAAGGATTTACAACTACCCATTTCAAGCTCACCAGTCCAAATGTTTATTACCATTAATTCAAATCCTTTGCTATGGATATTACCTTGATTGGAAATTAAAGTCTTTATTACTGAAGAAAGAGTACAATAATGGAAAATTAAACTAATGCTCCCATTGGGGCAGTATCTTCTGACTACTAATTCAGATCTATTTTGGCTCCAGAAACCAATGTTTGGCCAATACCATCTGTAAAGTGTCAGCCACACATTCAAAATAGTAAAGGAAGAAGAAAATTGGGTATGAAAATTGGCATGTTTAGGTCAGAGTCTTGGGAACACTTGATTTTGGGTTGAAGCAACACCAACATGACTGGTTTTTAAGCACAAAGCACACCTAACCAACAGACAGCTGTGAATGATTTGCTTTACCCTTAACCATAAAATTCAACATGGTGTGCCAAGAATCTGAATTATGAGGCAAAGGGAAAAAAGGGAATAGGCTTCCAGTAACGAAGTGTCATCCACAGAAGAGAGGAAAAATAATGGAAAAACTACACGTATGGTTATCTCCAGTCATGGATAATTTTCAGTAACATAGGATAACAATTATTAGGGCAGGAATTCAATCCAAAACCATGTGTTTGGTCTTCTTTCACCCTTCCAAACTGTAACCTATTTTATGGTGGAAGGCATACTGCTGAAACACAATAAGTCATTTTATTTCTGAACTTCCATTACTTTGTATTTCCCATAAACTATCTTTGCTAATTGGTGTATTAATACCTTTCACTTGCTGACATTATTAGCTCAGTTACACAGGTGCTATTTACTTCTGCAAAACTTTCTGAAACTGTAATGAATGAAATAGACGATATTCTATGTGAAGAGGAATGAGGAGGTGGTAGAAGTAGAAATGAAAAAATTTGAGGCTATAAGTTTAGAAACTTCCTGGGCTTACCTGAAGCATTAAACAAACCAAGAATCATTTTCTGACCAATTGATTTTATTTTCTCTAAGCAGATTTCATATTATTAGTTGGGGAACAAAGCAGAAGAGAACAAAGCTGGGAAAGAACAGAAGAAATCTAGCAGGAAAGAAATAAAAGTGATCTGAATTATGTCTGTGTGGGGTATGGGAGATCAGTAGATACTACCCCACGGAACTGTTCAAATGGTTACTTGCCAGGAAGGACTGAATAGTAACTCAGTAACAACTGAATTTACGTCTGTGTTGTTTGCTCTGGGGTAAAATCTGGAGATTCCAAGAGACAATCCTGCTTTTAAAAAACTTATAAGCTAAGATTTAAGGTTATTTAGATAGAGGATGAAGATGTAGATGAGCTACAGAGATTTGGAAACTGTGAAGAATTCTTATATAGTCACTAAAAGATTTAGGAAAATAAATAAATAGAAAAATCTGTTTTTCAATGAGAAGCTGAGGGAAAAAAGAAAAAAAAAAAAGAGGTACCACATCCCCACATCCATTGCACAGACTGAGCTCCTGTGCACTACAATAAAATAACACTAGGTCAGACAGAGAGGAAATTTCTAGAAGCAACATGCATGGAGGTCCCATTTCTTTAGCGTTACTCTAGTCCTTCAGCTATAAAAGTACTGTCCTGAGATATTATATAAAACAAACAAACAATAAGAAAAAACACTTGTTTTTTTACTTTACTTAACAAAAAATAATAATAATAATAATTAAAATCATAGAATCAAGGAATATGCTGAGCTGGAAGTGACCCACAAAGACCATTGAGTCCAACCCCTGGCTCTGCACAGGACCACCCAAAAATCAGACCATATGTCTGAGAGATGTCCAAATGCTTGTCCAAAAGCTCCTTGAACTCCAGCAGGCTCAATACTGTGACCACTGCCCTGGGGAGCCTGTTCCAGTGCCTGACCACCTTTTAGTGAAGGACATTCAACCTGAACCCTCCCCTAGTTTACCCTCTCACTTATTTATATTGTCATTTTTCCTAACTAACAGGACATATTAATGTGGATTCTGCACTTCCAACAGTCTTTGCTATCACCTCCAGTTCAATTCTATAAATTTACTTATTCTCAAGACCTAACTTGCCTCATTGGCTGTGAAACTAAAAACTGAATAAAAAAAGCACTGTTTACTACAGAAACATCAAGTGAAGTATTTCAAAATCAGCATTTGTTCTTCCTCTTTTTTTTTTTTTAAATAAAATGTCATCAGAATTGAGGTTTCTGAAGAAAGATTTCTCCTGTTCAAACTATTTTCAACCAGCTCTGCCAAATAATAACAAACAGTACTAATGGTACTAATTTGCAATTAGTATAAAATCTGTAAATAAAAAAAGAAACTAAACTTTATAGCCGAATGAGCTTATGCCACTGTAACTTTGTGAAGATGCAGTTTAGGCCTAGAATTCAAAGGTTATTTCTGTGCAGTAAGACAGGGCACTGTAATTTTTATTTTATTATTATCATTTTTAATATAGAAACTTAAGCAAATCATGTATTCAATTTCAAAATGATTAATCTTTTTCCCTTCCTGATGCATGTAGGTCTACAGAATAATGAATTACAATGTAATTATTTTACAATTTGTTTTAAGAGTATATCCATGGTCTAAACATGCTTGGATTTGAAAAATAGTAAGTCCTAAACTGATTTTTTGAGGCTAGTTCACCAATATTCTAATTCTTTCCATTTTTCTGTAGCTCCAAAGTAGTGTCACTGTAACTGAAAACCACTAATAATAATCATACCTTTATGCAGCATCTTTTGTCTGGAATGATTCCAAAAGACTGCTTTTATTATAGTAGTGCAAAGGTCATTCATTTCCAAATGACAGTTTCTTTATATTTTCCTTCCTGTGATGCAAAGACATAGAAATGAAAGATTCAGTCAGCTAACAGGCTAAGTTATATTGCTTTAGACTTTCCCTTTATGATTTCAGGTGACTTCACACCGCCATGCCTCTGCCCCTGCGCAACAATGAAAGGATGTAAGATCAGGATGGTAACGCTTAGCCCCTAGAGCCACATTTGATTAAAAATGCAGAGACTAGTGTGCCACTGGCCTGCTACGGTCTTAGCATATAGTTTATTATCCAGTTTTAAAGAAATATGTTGTTCATATAAGTGGCATTATTAGAAACATAAATTATTGTATAAACATAGATCTCTATTTGCAACTGCTGTAGCTTTCATTAGGACTGGTTAAAAAATTACTCTAGTTGTCTTAGGAATTGCATATATTAATGTGCTTGTCTCCTGTCTGTCATCTAGAATTCTTTGGCTTTACGGGGGAAATTAAGTACTTTATGAAAAGACAAGTGGAAAAAAAGAAATACGGTCTATGAAGGAAACTGTTCAGTTCATGTTTGGCATTCTAGCACAGTTTTGAAAATTAGAGGAAGCTTAAACTGAAAAATTTTAAATTTGAAACATTTTAAACAGAAAACCTGCAAAAATCTCTCAGTACATTCTCTTGTGTTCCTTTACAAATTTACAGCTTTATTAATTTTAGCTAGTGCTTAAAAATGTTTTACATTTTGTTAAAACTGTCTAACAGAAAAACAAAGGTTATCCTGCATTAGGGAAATCTGTTATCATTCTAATATTTTGTGCTGCAACTGTATAGTTTTTAGGTTTATTGATTGGTTCGTTTGTTGTTTGTTTGTTTGTTTGCCTGTTTGCCTTTTAAAGCAATGCAGTATGAATGAGTTTAAGGCTAAGATTAAGTTCTCAATTGAATCAATCAGAATTGAACAGCCAGAATTTTTGATCCTTTAAAATGAATCTTGGATACTTATTATTCAAGTATTTACCTTTTTGTTTGAATCTCTAGGCTTGGATATTGAAAGAGGGAGCAAAAACATATTTTAAACACACTGGTACTGTATATCAAAAAGACAGTATCATCTTACTGCACCAACTTCAAAATTTATCAATAGTAATACCAGAATTAAAAAGGATCTTCTAGGAAAACTAGTTTTTATAGGAAAAACTAACTTTCTCTATAAATGGCATTTGTAACTTCAATCATTCAGAGTTCAAGTAAACCAGTAGCTACTGCATATGTATAATACATTGCTTTAGGGTGGGTCATGCAGGATCATAATAAAATTCAAATAGCGTGCATATAAAGTTTAGTTTGTAGCCTTTATTGCTGTTGTTGTTGGAAAAAAACAGTTTAACCCCTAATCAACTACAGGTTTACAGGAGTATGACCACAGCAATAATAGAGCAAGATGTCATTGACTTGACCTTATTCCAGTTACTTTCTTACATGGCTTTCAAAAAACAGGTTTGTTTTTTTTTTTTTTGAGAGAGATGTCTAGGTGATTTCTAAAGCCAGGTTTACTTACAGTAGTGCATTTCAACATCATAGGTTAAATTTTCAAAGCATTTTAGACAAGTCTCTGGTACATCTCTTAATGGGAAGAGATTGACTAACCTTTCCTTTTCTACCATTCCTTCAAATTGCAAACATAAACAATGCCAAAACAGAGATTCATAAAAACTAAAACATAACTAAAGAAGATGCAGACAGTAACATAATCACAGGAAAAGTAGGAGCCTCACAAGAAAACATGACTTTTTTTCCTGTAATGCCGTGACCATGCAAGAGGCTGGTGAATAGAAAATGTGGCTCTGTTGCTACTGTTCTAGTAAGAATCTTTTTATAATATAGCAAGAGCATTATAAACAGGGTTGCTTTCTGAAGGGCAAGGAGGCAGAGCCTCGAATGTGCAAACTGAATTTTCCATATAGCTACAGAATCTGTATGAGAACGTGGAATAACCAGACAGGTGTTAAAGCTTGCTGACATTGTGTGTTTGCATGGGCATCCCTTATCGCAACAGAAGATCCACATCCTTAATAGATCATGAATTCTCTTTCTGTTATGGTCTTGTAAGTCAGAACTTCAATTTTCATACAGATATTTTGTATTCATATTACAGAAATCTAAATAAATAAATAAATCCTACAAATACATTAAATTCCTCTTATGGCTGACAAACAAAGATGTTCTTTTAACATCAAACTAAGGCTTTTTCTCTGCTTTTGGAGTGTTAAAGGGAAGAACTGAAATAATAACAAAATCATGCACTGACTGTGTGTTTTCTGTAGGACTTTACAGAAAAAGCTTCTTATAACCACTGCTCCAGCAGAGACCTTCCCTTCTTTTCTTCCCATTGCCTTATCTGTGAAAAGCTGGAAGAGATATCCAAAGGGTGGTAAGTTAGACTAAATGAAACACAGTCATACCTATTTCATATATATTTATCTCATGTAAGGATATAAATGGAGATACTCCACAGAATCACAGAATGGTTTAGGTTGGAAGGGACCTTTGCAGGTCATCTGGTCCAACGCACCTGCTCAAGAAGGGATACCCAGAGCAGGCTGCCCAGGACAATGTGCCAATGTCTTTTAAGCATTTCCAAGGAGGCAGACATCACAGCCTTTCTCTATAAATTGCTTGGTCATGTGCACAATAAAGAAATGTTTTCTGATGTTCAGACAGAACCTCCTGTTTTTTGTTTGTTTGTTTTTCTGTTTATTTATTTGCCTATTATGTTTCAGCTATTACAATACACAGTTCCTGAGATCTGTCCATAAAATTTTGCTACCTTGCAAAATCATCTCAAGGAACAGTCCAACCACTTCCTAATAGAGACAGTCACATTCAACTACCTGAGAATGCTCCTGCATATTATTTAAATTATTAGTATAACAGCTATAACAGACCAAAAAAAAACAATCTTTTAGAAGACACAACAGTGAAGAGTAAGTTGACTAGACTGTATTTTTCTTTGTTAAGCAGCATGCTTTTCCAAGCAAAAGCCTTGTTTTTCAGTTACTTACAGAAATTTATAGGCATAGTTCTGTCAGTGAAATTGCAGCAAAGTTGTTCCAAATCTACACCAATATAGGTTATAGCAGGACTCTATCCCAACTTTTTAAACATTTGACACAGTACTTACTTTTACGAGGACCTAGGAAAAGAAATAAAGTAAACTGCATCATCTCCTTCATCTCCATAGACAGATAAGATTAAGTCCATATGGATTTCTGCAGTTAGAATGTAGAGGAACAGACTATAACTTTCATGGTTGTGTCTCTAATCTCAAATAGATAAATAAATAAATAAATAAAATAAAAAATCGTTCTATGTTTGTTTCAAAAGTTTCATAGGATTCATGAGCAAGAATGGAGCTTGTGTGCTGGGTGTTCTCCATGACACTGCTGTACAAAATCATGATCATATACGGAAAAAGAAAGAGAAAGCATCTATAGTTAAGGGATCTACACAGGATGCAAAAACTCAGATTCTACTTTTTCTCTTGACATGGAACACAGACGGGAAACCCGGTCTCCTCAATTTCAGATGCATACAAAAATCAGCAGACTGTTATGCACAGTCTGGATACCTTCCCAACATCAGAAATTAGTTCTAAAGTGCTAAAATAGGTTGCAAAACCACCAAATTCAGTAGCAGTATTTATGTAAGTGCAGTTGTTTGAACTCTTACCTTTCAAGACACTGTCTTTGGTTAACACTTGTAAGCTATTTTTCTCAGTTTGATAATTTGAAAGAAGTTTTTCCACTCCATATAAAATATTCAGATATTCACTACAGCAGAGAACAGGACTGTGAGATAATTTGTCTGCTGTACAGTTTTTAGGGTACTTACCCTGGAGATGTGATATGATTTAGAGACTATCAAAGCAGCTTATACAAAATTAGGTAATTTCAAAAGAAAAAAAAAGTCAACTATCTTGAATATACAACACAATGATTGAGAATATTCTCATACTTAGATGTGAAATTCCTTAATCAGAGCAGGACCATGAAACTATGTTCTTCCATAATCATAGGAAAACAATATTATGAATGTGCCCTTTTGTAACATGGGAGACAATGTTATTTCTTGAATGCTGTGTAAGTCCATCAACTATTTCGCTTTTGTTAAATACACTTACATATTCTTTTTCTTTTCTTTCAAATTAGGAAAAAAAAATCTTTGGCCAAGTATGGAATCTGGGGGAGGGGTTGTTTGTTTTGATGATAATTATGAAAAATTCATCCTACTTCATACAAAAAGGAATCCCTTTCAGATTTTATGGACGTCCTGGAAAAATAATTAATCACACAGCTCTGTTGTAAACAAATATTTGACAATGGCAAGGGAGTAGCCTTCAAAATATTAACAGCAGAAGTATGCCAGTTTTGTAGCAGCTGACTTTTTATGCGAGAGTGATTACAGCTGGAAACACACTAAAAAATTAGTGAGACAGAGCTTCGCAACCTTAGCAGAAATTGCAAAACTGTACTCAGTAACAGAAGTTGATACTGCAGTATTACTTTGAGTCTACAGAACCACACACATTTCTTGTTGTAACACAATTTTCATTGTTTGGTACCTTTTAATGTTTTCATCAACATGAAAAATCTCTTTTAAAAGGTTTTGTTGCAAGATATGTGTTGTACAAAGCTTTTGTTCTCCTCCACAAGTGGAATACTCTTACTGATATGAAGTGATCAATGCATTCAGGTTCTTGATGTTTAATGCTCATATATACTTCCTGGTATATAAGCCATATCAAACAGAAAGAGGAAAAAAACAAAGGAAAATGAGAGAGAGAAAAAAAAAATAAAATAAAAGTGAGATGGGAATATGAGCCAACAAAAACACTTTTTACTTTGATGCTATAAAGAAGAGGGGTGAAACTCATGCAGACCTCCCAGGAGTCTGAGTCATCCAATACTCCTCAGCATTTGAGCTAATAAGCATTTGTACAGTGAATAAAAGAGGGAAAAAAAATGTTATTAATTAAATTAAGAGCATTAGATCTTTCTTCTTGGTAGATTTCAGAATACATTTTTCTTGTCAAAGTCCAACTCCGAGGCAACTTAGCAGTCTTGTCCATGGAGACCAAATTCAAGCGGCTGTACCAAGCTTCTTTGCAGAACACTGAGGACAACAGCTCCCACACAACCTCCAGGAAAGGGAGAGAGATGCTAACAAAGCCAGCTGAGGTAAGGTTCAGAAACTTCTTTTGCTGACAAGTAAAACTGTATACGGGACTGGAGGGAATTTATCACCCACTGGTATCACATTAACTAAATAGCTTTTTTAAAAAAATAAATAAATAAATAAATAAATCGTTTTTAACAAGAACTTCTGTTTTATAAACAGTGTTACCTATTATAAATCAAAAATCATTAATTCCTGATTACTTTACACCCGGGTTCATAGTACACCTTGATATTTCTAATATTTCTAGTGCTATTGGAACAGATAGGGAGTATGTAGGATGCGAAGTTTGGAAACAAAACCTGTCCAGAGGTGATTGTAGAGGCTAATGCAAATAATATGCTTATGAGTATATTGTAAGCAGTGCACCAGGGCCCCAGATCAGTGAAATCATACAATATTCCAATATTCCTCAGTATAACGTTTGCAGGAACAAAGATATTGAACTAAAAACACAAAGCTGGGGGAAGATAAAGATTTCTAATTATTTTCACTCTAGTGCCTGTAAGGTTCTTTCTACAGTTAATAGTACAGTGAGCATTCAGTCCTCAGAGAACTCCATGTTAAGAACAAAAAAGTTTCCCCTTGTGTTTAATACTAATATCAGAATGAATGCTCACAAGAAATACTCTGCTGATAACTTCTGGTCCATTGCTGGTCTCAAATTTAACGTAATTCTGTTTAGATCAATGATTTTTTCTTGCATAATAGTGCCATCTCTATTTGAAGTTAGTCCTACAAACTATATTCCACCTTTAATTTCCATGAAGAATTTCAGTGGCTTCATCCCACATATCTTTTGACACATTTATGATTTTATCAAACTCATTTTACTTTTGAGCAATTTCAACCATCTCCTCCAAGGACAGAAAGCAGAAGCCTTATTTGCCTGGCTTTGCATTCCCCAATGTGTACCTTTAACATTCCTTAGTAACAGCTTAATTTGCTGACAAGAGTAATTTATATTCAAGACCATCTCAAACAAGCTACTTCACTGAACATTAATGCAGGATATGACACTAGAACCACACATAAGTATCTCTTAGAAAGATGGTTTCTTTAAAAAAAAAGTAACAAAAACACATTTCATGTTAAAATTCTTTCTGTTCACATCATTGAAATTAATTCCCAGACAGTAGAACTCTTTAGACAGTGATGCTTTTGTCTGTAATGGTATCACAACACACACTTTTTCAATTTGGGTGGTAGACATGCTACTGGGGGTTTGGAAAAAGCTCCACTGCCTAATATTAGTGCTTGTTTTCTATGCAACACAGCATGACAGATCTGGCATACATTCTGTGCTTCTGACTTGATGCAGATTTTCTGTATTTTCTTGAAACGTCCAAACTGAAAAGAGCAGCAAATTCAAGTGTTTTTCATTGTGATCATAAACCAGTCACACATGTGATTTGATCTAAGTGCCACGAAGCTGCACTTGGTTTAGCTGTTGTCCATTTGGGAAGAGCTGAAGCACTTTAAACTGAATTTCAAAGCTATGTAGTGAAATTCTATATGAAAATATATTTTAAAAGAGTTTGTCTTCCATTTAAGCAATTTAATATAATTTCTTCATTTACTGCTTCAAACTAAATCAATTTAATTAAGAGTTAAATCTTATGAAAAATATCCACATAGGGGACTTGTACCAATTTGAAAGATTTTTATTTTATTTTATTTTTTTTAACTGAGCTAGAAAAGTAGGGCTCATTTAAATGTTAACACCAAAATCAGCCCCAGTGAAAGTGAGGATATGAGTGTACATTCTGAAATTAGTTGACTTTCTTTGGCTTTGCAAATCATTCAGCAGCCAAACATAAGCAATTTGGCTTTAAAGCTTCCTTACCTGGAGGACCATCTTGTTAGTGAGCCAGCCTTCATAACTAGGATGAAGTTCAAGCAGTAACATAAATTTTCAGTCTTCTTTACACCATCTCCAATCATCACTCCAGTCAATAATCTTGTCCACTTAAAGAAACCTTTTAGGGCCAAAGCTCACTGAGCCATTTAATTGAAATTTTGGAAGCACAGGAGTAAAAGTAGAAAATTGTATCTGTAATGGATCTTTGAAGTAAGAACAACTAAGACTACACAGACAGCTTTTCTCTCATTTTAGTAACTTGAAGAAAAAAAGCAAAACAGACCTACATTCAGTAATTGAGCATGTATCAGC